TTACAGAAGCAAAAGAAGGGCCGTTGGAGCTCAGGAGAGAGAAAGGCAAAGGTAACCTGCCTGGGAAAAGAAGAGGGGGAAAGGAAAGGTGTGGGTGTGCTCCGGAGAGGGAGAGTGTTGAGCTACAGTTTTTCTTAAAAAACTCTTGAGGAGTTCTGGTCAAGCTCAGGGGGTACAAGTGACACAAAGGGAGAAACTGAATTGTGCAGCTTCAGGGCGGGGACTGGAGGGACGGTGGCCATTCTGCCTGTGTTTAGTAGTCCTCTCACATGGTAAAATCTGAATCTGAATCTGCATTAGCCTGATGAACTCCACTCATTCCACCCTGACCACTCCCTGAGACCCTGTCCTACCCAACTCACTCACTGCCAGAGCCTATTTTGGCAGCAAGCAGTCAGCCTAAGCCAGCTTAGCAGTCTTTCTTTAAAAACTCTCAAGAAGTTCTGGTCAAGCTCAGGGGCTGCCAGAGACATACAGGGAGAAATTGAGTTGTGTGGCTTCGGGCTGAGGGCTGGAGGGATGACCACCATTGTCACCTTGTTGAGATCTCTTCCTACAAAGCCAGTGGGCAGGCCAAACCAAGGAGAATCAGAAAATCTGAACAGACAGATTGCAAAAAATTCCCCCAAAATCAAAAGTCCTGGATTGAATGGCTTCACAGGTGAATTTACCAAACAATCAAAAAAGAATTAACACCTATTCTTTTCAAAATATCCCAAAAAATTCAAGAGAGGGAAAGCTCTCAAGCTCATTTTATGAGTCCATTACTCTGATTCCAAAATCAGACAAAGACATTCAAAAAAAGAAAATTATAGGCCAATATCCTTGATGATCATAGGTGCTAAAATCCTCAACAAAATATTATCAAACCAAATTCAGCAATATATTAAACAGACCATACACTATGCAAGGTTGGATCAATATCTGAAATCAATTAATGTGATAAACCACATAAACAACACGAAGGATAAAAATGATATGATCATCTGCCTGGCGAGAGTGGCTCAGTTGGTTGAGTGTTGTCCTGTGCACCGAAAGGTTGCCAGTTCAATTGCCAGTCAGGGCACATAGCTGGGTTGCAGGTTTGATCCCCAGTCAGGGCATGTATGGAAGACAAATGATAGATGTTTCTCTCTCACATCAATGCCTCTCTCTCTCCCCGCTCTTCTCTCTAAGCATGTCCTTGAGTGAGGATTAAAAAAAAAATCATATGATCACATCAACAGATGCAGTAAAAGTATTTGACAAAATTCAGCATCCATTTATGATAAAAACTCTCAGCAAAGTGAGAATAGAGGGAACATACCTCAACATAATAAAAGCCATACATGAGAAATCCACAGCTAATATCATGTTCAATGGGGAAAAGCTAAAAGAATTTTCCTTAAGATTAGAAACAAGACAAGGGTATCCACTTTCACCACTTTTATTCAACATAGTATTGTAAATCCTAGCCACAGCCATCAGACAAGAAGAAAAAAGATATCTGAATTGGAAATGAAGAAGTAAAACTGTCATTATTTGTAAAAGAAATAATACTATAAAGATAATTCTAAAGATTCCACAAAAACTACTAGACCTAATAAACGAATTCAGTAAAGTAACAGGATACAAAATAAATATTCAGAAATTGGTCGCACTTTTATATACCATTATCAAAATATCAGAAAGAGAAATTAAGAAAACAATCCCATTTACAATTGCAACAAAAAAAATTACCTAGGAATAAATTTAACCAAGGCAGTAAAAGGCCTGTATTCAGCAAACTATAAGACAATGAAGAAAGGAATTAAAGAAGATACAAATAAATGGAAGCATATTCCATGCTCAAGGATAGAAAGAATTAACACTGTTAAAATGTCCACACTACCCAAAGCAATCTATAGATTCAATGCAATCCCTATCAAAATACCAATGGCATGTTTCACAGAACTAGAACAAACAATTCTAAAATCTAGATGGACCCACAAAAGACCCCAAATAGCCATGGCAATCCTGAGAAAGCAAGAACAAAATTTGAGGTATCATGCTACCTGATATCAAACTATACTACAAGGCTATAGTAATCAAAAAAGCATGGTACTGGCATAAAAACAGACACATAGATCAATGTATTAATTGACCTGTATGGTCAATTATTGTATGACAAAGGAGGCAAGAATATACAATGGCATAAAGACAGACAGTCTATTTATTAAACGGTGTTGGGAAAATTGGATAGATACATGCAAAAAAACAAAAAACAAAATAAAACTAGACAACATTTCCATACCATATACAAGGATAAACTAAAAATGGATTAAAGACTTAAATGTAAGACTGAAAACAAAACCATAAATCTCCTAGAAGAAAATATAGGGAGTAAAATCTCAGACATTGCTCTTAATAATATTTGTTTTTTATATATCTCCTCAAGCAAGGGAAACAAGAAAAAATAAACAAATAAGACTACATTAAATGAAAAACTTTTTGCATAGCAAAGGAAACCATCAACAAAACAAAAAGACAACCTACTGAATGGAAGAAGATATTTTCCAATGACCTATCTGATAAGGGGTTAATACCCAAAATTTATAAAGAACTCAAACCACACACACACACACACACACACACACACACACACACACACAAAAACAAGAAACAACCTAATTTAAAAATGGGCAAAGGATCTGAATAGACACTTCTCCAAAGAGGACATACAGATGGCCAATAGACATATGAAAAGATGCTCAACATCACTAATCATCAGAACAGTGCAAATTAAAACCATAATGAACTACCACCTCACACCTGTCAGAATGGCTACCATCAACGAATCCACAAACAACAAGCGATGGCAAGGGGGTGGAGAAAAGGGAGCCCTCGTGCACTATTAGTGGGAATGCAGACTGGTGAAGCCACTATGGAAAACAATATGGAGGGTCCTCAAAAGATTGAAAATGGAGCTGCCTTATGACCAAGCGATTCCACTACTGGAATCTGAACAAAACTAAAACACTAATTCAAAAGAATATATGCACCCCCATGTTCATTGCTTTGTTATTTACAATAGCCAAGATATGGAAGCAAGTACATATATACAATGGAATATTACTCAACTGTAAAAAGAATGAAATCTTACCATTTGTTACAACATGGATGGACCTAGAGGGTATTATGCTAAGTAAGTCAGACACAGAAAGACAAAAACCATATGATTTCACTTACATGTGGTATCTAAAGAACAACAGCAACAAACCCACACAAAAACAGAAACAGACTCATAAATACAGACAAGACTGATGGTTACCACAGAAGAGTTGGGTTTGGGGACTGGGTGAAAAAGGTGAAGGGGTTAAGATATACAAATTGGTAGTTACAAAATAGTCGTGGGGATATAAAGTACAAGGAATATAGTCAATAATATGGTAATAACTATGTATGGTGCCAGGTGGGTACTAGACTTATCAGAGGGATCACTTCATTAATTATATAAATGTCTAGCCACTATACTGTACACCTGAAACTAATACAAAATAATATTGAGTGTCAACTGTAATTGAAAAAAACACAAAAAACACTGCATAGAATGATTCACAGAAGAAAATCTCATTCCAAACCTGTGCTCTCTGCCCAAGCAATCACTTTAAGAAATATTTTGTATCTTTCCAGAATTTTCTTAAGGAAACACATATATTCTTCCTCCTCTTTTTTTCAAGATATAAAAAGTTTAATTTTATAATACCATCAGTAACACTCTATAGTTACATATGGAACAGGAATATCACAGAAAGGGTAATATCCTGGGCTTACATTGTACACAATCCTATGACTCCTTCCTCCTTTATCACAAGCAAAAATTGCATTCTATTGCTACCCTTCTGCACCTTTCTTCTTTCAATTAACAGTCTACTTGGAGATTTTTCCATATTCATGCAGCAAGAGCTTTCTCATTCTTTTTTACCAGGTTAAATCTCTTTGGGTGGATGTACCATAATTTATTTAATTGGCCCCTCCCTTAGTGAGGCAGTTGAGCTATTTTCTAGACAAAGCCTGCCTGCCTTCCCTGACTGAGAGGCTGATCAAGCAGTCAGAATGGGCTTATAAAAGGGGAAAAGGAGGTGAGGAGCCACTCTACCTTCCCAGGTGGGCTGAGGGAAGAGGTAAGGGCAGGTGGGAGAGGAAAAGTGGGAATGGGAGGTGGGAGGCAAGGTTGGGTCTCCCACAGGTCTCCTGGGAGGCTGATTTCTCTGCAGACTTTCCTCTGGTGTCTCCATCGCCCACTGCTCTGGCTCAGCACCCTCAGCCCCTTATCTGTTGGCCTTCTCCTAGCTCTAGGCCTCACTCTGCCCTAGGAACTTCTGAAGACCCCCTTGTGTAGGAGGAGGGGTTGTTGATGCATGAGGAACTGGGGTCTGGCTGTCTGGGCCCACACTCTCACTAGCTCTCCACATTGCCCCCCAACCCCACTCCCAACTCCCATAGCACTTGCTTCAAGGCCATGAACCGTACATAACTGAACAACTCAGTGGCCTTCACCTGGCCCCAGGACAGTTTCCCTGTCTGCCCCCTGGCAATCTCTGGGTGCCTAAATGCCTCTAGGCTGCTAAAGCTGGATGGTGCCCCTTCCTTTCACTCCCCATCCCCATTGGCAGGACATGTCTTGTGTTTCTCTTGAGCAGATTTAAAAGGACTTGCCAAGCTGGCAAAGATTTTCCATTGTGGATGAAATACTGGCTGGTGAAATCCAGAAGAGGTGGTGGCTTCCTCCAAGGTCACAGAGCAAGCTAGTGTTGAAGTGCCCTCAGGCGAGGGTTGGGGTGGGGAGAGGAATTCTTGTCTTCTGGCCCAGACCTCTACATGCCCCTCACTGTTGGCTCAGCTGCTCTGTGGGGTAAACTGGGTGGAGAGGGCAGAATATCTGGTCTTGGGAGGGGGAAAAGAAAATCTTACTAGGAGACTTATGGTTGTTGCCTCTCGGGTCTTGTGTATCTCTGACTGTGGCTTTCTGTCAGGAACAGATGGATATGGCCAGGAAGATCACACAGTTGCTGCTTCTGGCTTTGGTGACTGGTCCATGGGGTGCTCAGCCTAGGAATCCACAGGACAGGAAGGATCTGTTCAATGTCTGCATGGATGCCAAGTACCACAAGAAAAAGCCAGGCCCCGAGGACAAGCTTTATGGCCAGGTAAGGATGGAGTGGGATCTAGGGTGGGGAACAGGAATATCACAGAAAAGGTAGAATAGGAAGAAGCAGGGTGACAGGAAGATCAACTTTGAGGTGGTTGATGGAAGCAGGGGTGTGGCTAAGGTGATTTTGAGGGTCTCCCCCAGGGGGCTACCAAATCTACATGGGGGGACTCACTATGGGCCAGGTGCCTTCCTCACATCTTATCAATAAATATGCCCAAAGGGCCTACTTGGTAGGTGGATGGTGGTCGTTACTTATCCAAATGAGGAAATTGGCCCAGAGAGGGCACAGATACATGTGGAAATTGAGAGGCTAATCATTAGCGGGGGCTAGGAGAGAGACAGGCAGTGACTGTCCCAGCCTTAGTTATGGGCCAGCCCACAGACTCAGAGGTAAGGTAGAAGGGGAGACCGGTCTCTCACAGTCACTCTGAAGCAAATATATACAAACAGGCCAGGTCCCCACCCCCATTAGGTTCCAAAGAGACTGGGACAAATCAGGTGTCCTTGGCCTTGGAAGAGAGTAAGAGTTTTCCAGGAAGACAAAGCAGGAAGGGGCAGCCTAGAAGAGCACAGCATGTACACAGGTCAAAGGGTGACAGCACAAGCGGTGGCAGAGCCCACAGAAAAGGAGACATGAGACCAGGGTCCTCCTTTCCTAGATAAGGAAGTAGTTCAGGAAATATGAGCTTGAACTCCAGGCTCGTGCAGGATGCCAGTATTTCACGGCTTCTGGTTTCCTCCTCTGCACCCTGCAAGGTGTCATGTTGCCGGAGGGCTGGGGACGTTCTCAGGGAAAGACTCCTGGGGCTTGAAGTGAAGAGAAGGAAGCCCAGCAGCCCCATGACTCCTGAGTCATTTCCAACATTTCACTGTTTCGTGTGTGTGTGTGTGGTAAAAGACACATGACATGAAATTTGCCATATTAAGCATTTCTAAATGTGTGGTTCCGTGTCGTTAATACATTGACATTGTGCAACCATCACACCATCCATCTCCAGAGCTACTTCATCTTCCCCAACCAGAAGTCTATATCCACCACATCATATTTAGAACTTTTTAAGTTCCAAAGGGTACTTTTAAGAACCCTCTGGCCCGGCCGGGCGTGGCTCAGCGGTTGAGCGTCGACCTAGGATCCAGGCGATCGGGGTTCGATTCCCGGTCAGGGCACATGCCCAGGCTGCGGGCTCGATCAATAACTCTCTCATCATTGATGTTTCTATCTCTCTCTCTCCTTCTCCTTCCCTCTCTCTGAAGTCAATAAAGATATATTTAAAAAAAAGGACCCTCTGGAGTACTTCCTCTTTGCCAAGAAGTAGTGCAGACACAGGCCTCTGAGGGAGACAGATGATTGTAATTCTGAGGGACATGGGCTATACAGGAGTGGCTATTTGTGTTGAACCCCTACATTGGGCTATGAAATGCTTTTCATTACATTAATTAACCCTTTTGGAGGCGGAAACCACTGACCACAGCTGGTAAGTCAGGGATGAGGTGAATGGAGTCTTGCAGAGTGACCAAGAGTTGGGGCATCTGAGGAAGTTAGGAGTCCTGGAAGCAGGGTCTGTGTAAGCCTCACTAGGTTCGGGCTAGGTAGTTGGAAAGCAGTAGGTTTGGCCTCACCCTCACGGAATTTCCTTAGTTTCTTCCGAGTGCCCAGAACAATAGCATCTCCCCTCTTGCTTGACCCTGGGTACTAGAGTTCATCTCAGAGAGTTGAAGCAATTGGTCCATGATCGCTCAGCTCTTGAGGCCTAGCCTAGAGTGATTTCTAAAGAGAAACCTCCATCACTTCTACCACCTTACCTGTCTTGAATTTCCTCTCTAGGATAGCGTCCCACATTTAGTCAGGCCCTCGTTCAGGCCTATGTGCTGACTATTGCCCCTCTGTTCCCCACTGCTTTCAAAACCTATCTGAAGGTCCCTAGCCTGGGGTTCCAGACCCCAGGACAGCGGGACCAGCCCACTTCACCTCCACCTCTCACCACAACGTGGAACAGGGCTCCTGCCCACCCTGTCCTGAATCTGAACCCAACCCTGTCCTGAATCTGAACCCAACCATTTACCAGGGGTTCAGCTTACTTATGCTCTGTAAAAACTGGAATAATGTTTTCACTGGATTGTTGAGGATAAAGCACAAAATCCTCAGGAACTTTGCACCTGCAGTTTTCTAGGCCGACAATGGTCTTTGTCTTCCCCTGGCCCAAGGGAAAACCATGATGACATGAGAGAAGAGATTTGATCTGTTTTGCTCGCTGTAGTATTCCCTGCACCTAGCTTTGTGCCTGATATACAACAAGCACTAAGTTAGTATTGGCTGGATGCAAAATGAGTAATAAAAGTAACTTGAACAATGTGAAATAAGTTTGTAAACTATTTAGAGCCATACAAATAATACTTGCTCACTCAGAAAGTGTTCCCCCAGGTTGCCCACATCCTCTGTGTTATTCTCTGCTAAAATCCAATGTTATAATTGCCTTTACCCCAAATGGGGGCTCCTCAAGGGCCAGACATAGAGGCACCTTTGCAACTGAGTGTTCTTCTGGATGATCTACTAGGACAGAGGGGCCAGAAAAGGGAGGAGATGGCTGTGTTGGCAGAAGAACTTAGCCTTGTGTCTTCCCCACCCAGTGCAGTCCCTGGAAAGAGAACGCCTGCTGCTCTGTCAACACCAGCCAGGAAGCCCATAAGGATGTTTCCTACTTGTACAGATTCAACTGGGACCACTGCGGCCCGATGAAACCCGCCTGCAAGCGCCACTTCATCCAGGACACCTGCCTGTATGAGTGCTCCCCCAACCTGGGGCCCTGGATCCAGGAGGTGCGAGTTCCTCCCATGCCTGCTCCCCAGACATCTCCTCGCGCTGCTCCTGCAGCTCTGGGGCTGTTCAGGGCTGGGCGGCTGAGAGCCCTGAGCCTGAGCCCTTTCCCCCTTCTGACGGCCCCCAGGTGAACCAGAGCTGGCGCAAAGAGCGGATCCTGAACGTGCCCCTGTGCAGAGAGGACTGTGAGAACTGGTGGGAAGACTGCCGCACCTCCCACACCTGCAAGAGCAACTGGCACAGGGGCTGGAACTGGACGTCAGGTGAGAGCTGGGCAGGGGCGGGGACAGAGGGATCCGGGGGGCTGGGGGTGTGTGACGGGCATATAGGGGGATAGAGCTGTGAGGCTGGCGGAACCAGAGAGAGTTCTGGGCCAGTGGCTAAAGGCCTTCCCTTCTCCTACAGGGTCTAACCAGTGCCCAGAGAAGGCTGCCTGCCACCCCTTTCATTTCTATTTCCCCACGCCTGCTGCTCTGTGCAACGAAATCTGGAGTCACTCCTTCAAAGTCAGCAACTACAGCCGAGGGAGTGGCCGCTGTATCCAGATGTGGTTTGACCCAGCCAAGGGCAACCCCAATGAGGAGGTGGCGAGGTTCTATGCTGAGGCCATGAATGTGGCTGAGCTCCGTGGGGCCTAAACTCTCCTGCTTGGCCTGGCCCTAATGCTCCTGCTGCTCAGCTGAGTTCCTTTTACCTTCAGATACCAGGACACCCCCACCCAGTTCAGCCCCACAGCTCATAAATAAACCAGATACCCGGCATGAGTCTTGCAAATAATTTGGGTGTGAGTGGGAATGTGATTTCTGCTTACTGGTTTCCATTGATTGAAACCAGTGAGACTTGGTCAGTTCCCAACTCTATTTATTCTGAATTTACCCGATACTTAACTATTCTTCTAACCAAGGACATATTCATAGCTTTCAACTTCATTCTTCCCTGCAGCCCTAACCTAGAGTCAGGCCCAGGATTTTGTCATCTGAACTGGACCCCAGCCTCCCAGGGTTCACTATTCTGCCCTGTACTCAGCTCTTCAGTAGAACAGAGGGGAATGGGAGTGCCCAGCATGTGCTGGCTGGGGACAGGTGTAGGGGCCACCAAGGGCCATACCTCACTACAGCTAATACCTTCAAAGCACTACCTGCCAGGCATTGTCTTAAATGCTTATATTTATTCCCATAGGGTATAGATACTGTTGTTTACAATTTACATATGTGGAAACAGGCCCATAAATTAAGGAACATGGCCAAAGGCACCCCCTGCATAAGAGCTGGGATTCCACTCCAGGCAATCTGGCTATTGAAAACAAGCTCTTTCCCTTGTGGAGTGGGCAACTATGTGCATCTTGAAGGGATACTGGACCCACACCTGACCAGAGGAGCTGGGCCTGAACTGCTCTGGCAGAGCTAAGACTGGATCCCAACCCTGGACTCCTAGAACAGGTTCCAAACCAATGACTTGCAGATTTGTAGGCAGTGATCTCACATTAAGTATAGTTTGTAGCAGCTGTAATAAGCTGGGTTATGTTACAGTGCCATCCTTGATATCTCAGTGGCTTAAGACAACTAACATTTATTTCTTGCTCAAGCTACAGTGATTAATGTGGGCTGTCAGGGGGATTCTGCTTGGCACTCGGAGCCAGGCTGATGGAAGCCCCATCTTGTCACACACTTCTACAAGACAGGAATAGAGAACTTGGTGAAATCTATAACCGGCTCTTAACACTTCCACCCATCACTTATTTTGTTGTCCAGTTCAAGTTATCATATGACTGTAACTAACTTCAAGGAGGCCAGGGGAATACAATCCTACATGTGCCTGGAAGGAGAGGGGAATCAGAATGTCAACAGACCTAGTGTCTACTACAAAGACTATTATGTTATGGTCAGTGTATTTCTGGCATGGTCATGGTTACAAATTTATTTTTTTGGTTTGGTCCTGGTAAGAAGGAGGACCAACTCTTGGAAGCTATGAAAAAAACTACATCAGCATGAAATGAAGCACTCCAGTGGCTACCACTCTAAATAGTCTTGTGAACTAGGCCAATCAATATATCACATTCTCTACAGAACCAGTTGCATTGTTTACAAATATGACTTGTTTACAGTTGTATTAGAATTAGTGAAATTTAAAATTAGAATCACCTCAATGCAACATACCTTATCAACATGCCTATTGTGTTGTTTGTGAATCATTTATAAAAATACTTGGCTGAACCCCATTTCTGTAGCTGTCATCCTCAAGTTCTTAGGAGTCATTAGCTTACACAAAGTTTTAATAATTTTTCATTTCAAGACTTAGAGCAGTAGTCCTGACATAAGGATAGATACACAGATTAATGGAACAGAATCAGAGCCAGAAATAAATCTTTATATTTAGTGTTAATTGATTTTTTACAAAGGTGCTCAGACAATTCATTGGGGGAAAGGATTGTCTGTTCAACAATGTGCTGGGACAATTGATTACCCACATGCAAAAAGATGAACTTAGACCTACAACAATTTTATATTTAACTTTTTAAAAATATGTCTTTATTGATTTCAGAGAGAAGAAGGGGGAGGGAGAGAGAGAGAGAAACATCGATGATAATAGAGTCATTGGCTGCCTCCTGCAAGCTCCCCACTAGGGATCGAACCTGAAACTGGACATGTGCCCTGACCCAGATCGAATCGCAATATCCTGGATCATAGGTTGATGCTCAACCACTGAGCCATGCCAGCCAGGATACATTTAACTTTTAAGAAACTGCTGCTATGAACATTCACATACAAGTCTTTGTGTGATGTATATTTCTATTTCTCTCAAGTAAATACTAAAAGTATGGTCTGTTAAATTGAGGGTTACAGACCAGAACCAGGGGAAAGAAAACGGGCTGCATCATATGACTAGTTTAAAAAAGAACATGAAGCACATTACCAAAAATACCAGTACAATATGCTCAATTACATCCTTTTGACTTCACTAATTCTTTAAAAATTATTTCTTCTTACCTGTTTGTGGGTTAGCATTTCCCCCCAAGAAAGCTTTTGCTTTGGGGCTGGAATTTTTCTGGACAAGAACCAAGGCTCTGATAGGCTGAATTACCCAAGTGTGGTTTATGGTGGTGATGTCAGATCCATGGGTCTATTTTCCTGTCTGTCAATTATATCGGGGCCTTTAGGAAAACAAAAGGAGAGAAGAGAAACCACTTGTTAACAGGACCAAATGATCTGATCAATCTATCCAATTCCAACAGCAGAATGAAAGAGAGAAGAGAGCATGACCCTCCTGGTGAGGAGGTTCCTGAGGTCTTAGTTGATGGCTACTTTCAAGAGAACATATTATTAGAACCTGGAGAAGGAGACATGAACAAGGAGAGTTAGTCTTTTTAACTATTTTACCCAACTTAGTGTTTTTTTAAATTAATCCCCACTAGAGGATATTTTTGCCATTGCTTTTTATGTTTTTATTTTTTTTAGAGAGAGTGGAAGAGAGGGAGAGAGAGACAGAGAGAGACAGAGAGAAAGAAACATTGATGTGAGAGAGACACACCAATTGGTTGTTTCCTGCAAGTGCAATGACTGGGGCCGAGCCTGCAACCAAGGTACTTGCCCTTGGCCAGACTCAAACCTGGGGCCCTTCAGTCCACAGACTGACTCTCTAACCACTGAGCAAAACTGGCTAGGGCTACTCAACTTAGTTTTGATAATTCCATTTGTCTCCTCTATTTGCCAGAGCTTTATGGGTGATATGGATAGTGGATGTATTTAGAAGTCTTGAGGGCCTTACAATCTATTCTGTAAGATGTGCCCCCAAATTCCTATCAATACTAAAGGTGAAATGTTTTAATTTATTTTTTATTGAGTTTATTGGGGTGACATTGGTTAATAAAATTATATAGGTTTCAGGTGTACATATCTACAATACATCCTCTGTATATTGTATTGTGTGTTTACTACCCCAAGTCAATTTAAAACGTGATTTTAAAAAAGGCATCAAACCATCTTGGAAATAAACTAGCTGACAGTCATCATGCAAGTCCTTGCCCATGAACATGAGTATGATTTTACCCACTTGAAAAGGTCCACAATAACTGAGCAGTCAGTCAGAGCCCTTTACCGTGTATAAACTCATTTCAAAGGCATGAGCTCCTCTCTGCTGTCATCTTCCTCCACATTGTGGATGCGAGGAACAGGGCAGCTCTTATAATACTGATAAACTAATTTTAAAAACATGGAGCATACCAATTATGCTTAATTATTTTTAGCTTCCCTCCTTGAATACTTCTTTACTTGTGAGTGCCATGCTGTCAGAGAGCAAGTTTTTGGTGTATTCAAGCAGCTGTCTAGGAAGTGCCAGGTGATTTTGGTGTAAAATATGCCTTGGTAGTTCTATATTCCTGAATGTAGGGCCTGATTTAGAGAAGAGAAACTGAAAAAAGTGTGGTCAGGAATAGCCTTAGTCTTGGCTATGTCCTTAATAAGGAAACTATATTTTATAACATTGTCATTAAGAATTTTAACTTCTCTAGAAGTGAGGAACCCTACTGTCTTATATCATGACCTAAGGGCATGATATGAGTGACAAGCTCAAAATTAAAAAAATAATGTGTTTCCTAAGAAGTTAAAGTTCACATTCAGGTTGGGTAAGGGCCTTAACACTGCTGTAAAGGGAAATCACACAGGAAACACAAAATAACTTTTATCTCTTCATGTTAGGTATAGCTGGTATACTCCAAGGCTGTTTTTCGTAGGAGTGGCCAACATTATTTAAAGCTTTATGCCTCTTAAAATAAAAGTAACCTGAAGAAGCACTTCTGGAATGGCAGAGGCAGGACATCTGAAAATCCACTCTTCCATAAAAGCAAGAACACTGGCAAAATGTCAAANTTAATCCCCACTAGAGGATATTTTTGCCATTGCTTTTTATGTTTTTATTTTTTTTAGAGAGAGTGGAAGAGAGGGAGAGAGAGACAGAGAGAGACAGAGAGAAAGAAACATTGATGTGAGAGAGACACACCAATTGGTTGTTTCCTGCAAGTGCAATGACTGGGGCCGAGCCTGCAACCAAGGTACTTGCCCTTGGCCAGACTCAAACCTGGGGCCCTTCAGTCCACAGACTGACTCTCTAACCACTGAGCAAAACTGGCTAGGGCTACTCAACTTAGTTTTGATAATTCCATTTGTCTCCTCTATTTGCCAGAGCTTTATGGGTGATATGGATAGTGGATGTATTTAGAAGTCTTGAGGGCCTTACAATCTATTCTGTAAGATGTGCCCCCAAATTCCTATCAATACTAAAGGTGAAATGTTTTAATTTATTTTTTATTGAGTTTATTGGGGTGACATTGGTTAATAAAATTATATAGGTTTCAGGTGTACATATCTACAATACATCCTCTGTATATTGTATTGTGTGTTTACTACCCCAAGTCAATTTAAAACGTGATTTTAAAAAAGGCATCAAACCATCTTGGAAATAAACTAGCTGACAGTCATCATGCAAGTCCTTGCCCATGAACATGAGTATGATTTTACCCACTTGAAAAGGTCCACAATAACTGAGCAGTCAGTCAGAGCCCTTTACCGTGTATAAACTCATTTCAAAGGCATGAGCTCCTCTCTGCTGTCATCTTCCTCCACATTGTGGATGCGAGGAACAG